TATACAAAAAAAACAAAATGTATTTTATGTTGTAAAAATGCTGAATTCCAGGGATTTTTTTTTTTGTTGAGATAAATAAAAATACCCAAGACAATGTGGTGTAGTAGGAGCCAAATACCTGACAAGAATCAAGCACATTGTCATGGCAACCAATAAAACAGCATCAACTAATATTTATCAATATCCCTTTATATTCATTAAATGTGATTTATTGTGGTTGAAGGGATCCGATTTATAATGTAAACAGGAGTACTGAGCTGCATACCAAGTTATTCACTTACAGCAGGCAACCAGACAAGGACGAAAAATGACGGTACAAGAACTGACGGCCATAATACAGACACCGTGAAGTACCATTACTGTAGACGACATTGTAACACAAGGACATCATTAGAGATATATTCAACAAGAATGTAAAATAGTTGTATGTCCCTACTCTATGTTTAAGCTAGCTCGATATCTGTCAGACCATTGACCAGGTAATCCTGTTTGATGAATTAATATATAAGTTACAATAGAGCTTTGTGTACAGTGATCTCTAATGATCTCTGTCAGTTCTCGCCTTTTGATCTGGACCTTAACTTTTTAATAGCTACACGATGTCTTTCAGGCATCATGATGTTGCAAACTGATCAGATACCTATATATGGTCAAAGATACGACAGACTTGACAGTACCGAGCTGCATACCTAGGTATTTACGTGTAGCAGACAACCAGACTAAATACAAGAGCTGATGGATAAGAGGACTAATTGATATATCATACACAACGTGAAGGATTGTTATTACGGTGGTGGACTTTGTAACTTGAGAAGACCTATTAAAAGATATATTCTATATTCTAAAAGAAACTGGCTTATCTTTCTTTACCCTCTACAGTACTATATAGAGGTGTAACTGGTGCCGTGACCAGGATAGAATATATCAAACTCAAGAAGACAGACAACGGAACTCAAGAAGACGGACAACGGAATATAAAGTAAGGTAAAGCAATTTGAATTACTAAACAAAATGGCAGAGGCAATTTTGAACAAATTAAATGGAAACGTAGGTCCAGCTTGATATATCGGTCAGGCCATTGTCCAGTGTAATCTTGTTCATGTTTTGATATGTATATATTATCCTTTTTATTTTAATTATTGCATTATTATTATTTTGATATATTATCCTTTTTCCTTTTAATCATTGTATTATTGTTAGTATATGTTTTATTCTTATGGTACAAATATTTTATAATATATAGGTGTGTTATTGTCTTATGCTAACACTACATGTATATTATAAACACATTCCGTAAATAGCTTCAGTCCAAAACACGATTGTAAATTTAATTTTAATCCATAAACTAGTTGTTAAGGTATTCAGATTAGTAATTATTGTAATTATTAATTAGCTTTCAGTCCAAACAAGGAACAAGACTGTTACATTGAATTGTCATGTGATATGAATCTCACTAACCAGGTGGTTGTAATTTTGGATATGACACTGTTAACTATATTAGAAGTAAATTATAATGACGAACGTATGTATACTATTACCAACTTGACAAAATTCTATTAGCTTAATGATACAACTATGTAACTTTGCCATTTCTACATAAATCGTATCATTAAATTCAGTGGGTTACAACCTATATGTCTTCTATATAGACATAAAAAGTTGTAAGCGAGTTGTTGTTAATTTACGTGTCATTTAATTATTTTATTATAGGGAATGAAATTATGGTTCCTATGGTTGACTTTTGGACTGACAAGAGGTTTTCTTACTCATGACAACTTACTGTTTAGACCAGTGAACCGGATAACGACGAGTAGATCTTCATGGCTTATAACAATTAATCAACGATATGACCCCTTTCGATAGATTTATTGAAACTCTATCCTTTGACATGGGACTTGCGCTAATAGAAATAGATGATATCACATCTCAGTACACCTCTAATGAGATGCGCGACTTCCGAATAACTTCAACTAAACTTAGGACTGAAATTATGACTTTAAGAGACAATCACGTTGACTTAATGACGGCAGTGGCCGATTTCAAAACATTACAGACCTCGAAAATGTGAAGATCGCTTATTCCCATACTAGGTAAAGCCTTGAATTTTTGGTTTGGCAGTCTCCGAGAGTGAATAGAAAACTATCAGAAATAATGTAAAAGGCTTAGCGATAAATCAAGAGGCCATTGCGCATGTCGCAAGGGAAAGCCTTTCCCTCTTAAAGGGACAATAACACTCTTGCTGGCTTGAAAGCTCCAGAAATTAAATAATATCTCTATCTAAGTACTAGATGTTTAAGTGTCCTACCTGTTGTGTAAATTATCCATTACATCCTTTTTTACTTGTCCAGAGGGTTCGAAAATATTTTTAAATCGAAGTTTCATTTGAAAAGGTTTACGTTAGACGTTTCAAACCATTATGTTGAATTTTTCAAAATTTTTAAATAAGGTGTGTTAAGATGAAATTTGTATCATCAATTAATTGAAATATTGTAAAATAGTACATTTTGTTGACCAGAATAAAGATTGGGGCATATTATTCAGTTACAACAAGAGTGGTATTGAGCCTTTAAATGTTTCGAGAGTCCAAATTTTAGCCGATAGACAAGCTATAAACAAACTAAATGACAAACTTGGTAGTCTGGATCAAAAAGTAATGAATATTGTCCGAGAATTCAGAAGACATGTGCTGCAACTGGAAAAGTTTCTGCACTTGTATCTTCGTTTGAATTTAGTTATAGACGACTGTTACAGGGTGAGAGAGTTCAAGTTAGAGAATATGTTGACCGATTGCTGACTGCTGTGTCGCCAACATCAATATGATTATAGTGAAATAATCTATCAATGACAGCTGATTCATTGTGTAGTTTTTTATTTAATATATTAATATCAATAATATATGTATACGCATACTTTAATTAACTTTATACCACATCTAAGTTTAGTATAAATTAGCTGAGGTTGTTGAGACAAATCAGTGGAGCTTGGAAGCTCACCAGAGAAGTGTCTCTCTATTTTCTAATATTGTAATACTGTTGCTAGAATAAATTAATGTCCAATACAGATAGTGTTCTAATTGAAATTATGTTATAAACATAAATTGGTGACCGTGTCCAGCGAACAACCGTGGTTGTACGGAAATAAGCAGAAAGCGGTGACAGTTGAAAATGGAGACAAATGTTTTTATTATGAACTTACACGAGAAGGACAAGATGTTACGGATACAGAAGGAAAATGGCCATGAAAGAAAGAAAAAATCAAATGAACTGTAAATCGCTCAAATGTAGAATAGCAGTTTTAGTATTATGTTATATGAAATAAAAATAATGATGAGGAGAGCCGAGTTATATCTAGAAGAGTTACTCACTTGGTCACCTGTCACCTACATGTAGTGCGATAACGCCGATCAATCTAAGGCGACTACTTGTTGAAATACAAGATATGTTGCCACCAAGTTTACATTTACCTGAGGACCCAAAGACTGACTTGTGGTCATTCTACTAATTACTGACCCGCATCACAGTTCTAGACGAACACCGTATTCTAGTGATCATATCGGTACCTATATTAGATTCCGACGGAAGATTAGAAATTTACTGTGCGCATAATTTGCCAGTGCCTATGACTTCCAAGAAAATTCCTTCTGATTCGAAAGCCCTATACGAGCTTGAGACCGACATTTTGGCCGTCAGCGTTCAAAGGACAAAAAACGTTTTATTAACTCGAGAAGAAGTCGATAAATGTAGCAATCTTTTAGTAGGACTTTGTCGCATACTAAGTCCGATATATCAAATAAATTTGAGTAAGCTATGCGTGGTTGCCTTATTTATGCAGAACAAAAGCAAATTGATAAATATTGCTGGGTCCTAATCAAGCCGAATTGCGTTTTACCAATGGCTGAATATGTCTCCGATGGATTTTGCCTAGTTACTACCCAGAACGAAATTAGATTTAGCGTCATATGTCAAAATTCCAAATTTATGCATTCCTCGCTGTTTCCCCACCTATAGGTGCGGTACAATTGAACCCTTCATGCTCTGCTTCTACTGATTACTTAAGTAGGGGTAAGTGGGGCAGCATGGACATAGGGGTACCGTGGACCACCCTACCTTTGGGGGGAAGATAACTCTTGATATATTCTTAACCATTCCTGGTATCCAGGAAATGATGTAATAAGGCTGCCATATTGTCTACAGCACATGGTTACAACAAGAACACTTGCAGTAAGTAAAAGTTTATTTTAAAGTCCTAATTTTTTTTCCGCGTTAATTTTTTGAGCAGTTGATAGCTCACATTGTTATCAAAGTAGCAGTCTAGTGATCCGCAAGTGCAATCTTATATGATTTTTGATTTTTTCTGTAAAATAGAGGAGTTTCTAGGCTCATCCATATTTGACCTAACCTCAATGTCAATCAGATTTTAGATATGGGGCACAATGGACCAGGGGCCGTGGGGCAGATTGGCACGGTGGTCCACAGTGCCCCATAGTGTAGAAAATGTAACTTATATGTCATGATTTTATTATTTTACAGACAAAATGGTTAGAAAATATAAAAAGAAGACTAACCAACCAAGAACTGCAGCAGTCAATATGAAGGAAGCAGTGAAACTAGTTTTGAATGGCGCATCGTTGAGAAAAACCGCTGAAGATTGGGGGATCGCTAGAACCACCTTAAGACGCTACGTAAAGGATGCCGAGAAATCTGGAGTTGAAAATACAATTTTTCTTAAAAGTAATTCAACTCGTCAAGTTTTTACAGACCTCCAAGAAGAGCTCTTGGAATCTTATATCAAGACCGCAGCAAAACACCACCATGGGCTGACGCGAAAGCATGGCAGCATGCTAAACAAACTAACAGAATGGGATTTGCATCAATTAGCTGGAATAGACTGGATCAATGGTTTTATGCAGCGACACCCAACACTGTTATGTCGAAAACCAGAAGCTACAAGTCTGAGTAGAAGCACCAGTTTCAACAGAAAGAATGTTGGCGAATTCTATGACAACTTAGAGAAAATATTTACTACTTACAAATTCTCTGCAGAGGATGTGTACAATATGGATGAAACTGGTCTAACAACAGTTCATAAACCCCCTAAAGTTATTGCTGATCGGAAAACGAAACAAGTAGGGCAAGTCACATCTGCAGAGCGTGGAATTCTTACAACCATGATAGGTGTTGTTAATGCTCTCGGAAACTACTTACCTTCAATGCTCATATTCCCCAGAGTTAATTTCAAGTCCCATATGCTAAATGGATCACCAACCGGTACAATTGGAGCTGCTAACCCATCTGGATGGACTAGCCGAGAAATATTTGTCCAATGGCTGAATCATTTCATTGAACATACACGAGCAAGTAAAGATCGTCCCGTTCTGCTCATCTTTGACAACCATGATAGCCATATTACGATAGAGGCGATTGATTTGGCCAAGAATAATGGTGTTGTGTTGTTAACTTTCCCACCTCACTGCAGCCATAAACTGCAACCTCTTGATGTTTCAGTTTATTCACCTTTAAAAAGGTATTTCAATGAAGCGTGTAATGCCTGGCAACTCAGTCATCCTGGACAAACTATTACGATCTATAACATGTCTGAGCTATTAAATTCTGCATTTCCAAAAGCCTTTACACCTAGTAATATTATGTCTGGATTTCGCAGACCGGGTGTATGGCCATTCAACAAGGATGCCTTTAAAGACGATGAGTTTTTAGGCGCTTTTGTGACTGACAGACCAAACCCTGATATAACGTTAGATGATGAAACTACCACAGGGGAGTCCAGTGATGATCATGTAAATCTACCATCAACAAGTACCGATAAGTCAAATGAAATCAGAGCTGCTTTGACGCCAGAACAAATACGTCCTTTTGTGAAAGCTGGACCTCGACGAAAAGTCACTAGGAAAAGGAAGACAACCAGTATTTTAACAGATACTCCTGTAAAAGAACAGTTGGAGAAAGAAGAAAGAGAAAGACAATTAAAGAGGGCTAAAACAACAAAGCGTAACATCGCAAATGACAACGATTCTAGTAGCGAAGATGATCTTGAGCTAGAATTAGATGACAATAGTGACACAGACCCACCAAGTGAACCAGAATTACCACCTGATATAACTGCCACTGACTTACAAGTTGGTTATTATGTATTAGTTAAGTTCTGCATGAAGAAAACTAAGAAATATTTTGCAGGAGTTATTACCAGTTTGAATGCAGATGAGGCAGTTGTTACATTTTATAAAAATGTAACAGTTTTGTGAACCCTAGCATTGAAAATATAGCAACAGTGGATGTTGATGATATTGTAATGATTCTTCCACTACCCACTTCTACTGGTGGAACAGAAAGAACCTGCAAGAAGATCATGTTCGATGTTGATTTATCGTCATACTTTTGAAGTTGACTATGTGAAGCCATGTTAGAGACTAGTCATTGTTCTACCAACCAAGTTTATTTTTTTTGCATGTGTTTGAAATAAATAGTTATAGTTCATTTTACATGTTGTTATATCTGGTCCAATGTGCCCCATAGGGCGGTCCAAAGTACCCCGTAGTTGGGGTACATTGGACCACTTTGGATCAATCTGGTTACATTAAATATTTCAACAAGTGCACCAAAATAAATATCCCGCAATCATTCCGAAGTGAAGCCGATATATTGGTCTACATCCCAAAGGAATGATGTGTCACTGAAATGAGTAAACTTAGAATATCTGAAAAATGGTCCACCGTGCCCCACTTACCCCTATGCCTTCCTTTTTATCAAAACAAATCTATTTTGATAAACCCTCTTTCGACTGGATAATTAACACGTTTAATGTGTCTATGGAAAAATTATGGGCACCTATCCAAACCACGCTTCAAAACTATACCCTAGAAAAATTTACCCAGGAAATTGCATGGGCTTAAAACTATCCCTATGTCTCATTTACTGTAAGAACTAAATAACCTTAAATCCAGTAAACCTGAGAAAAAACAGCTTAATTGGCGACATTATGCCATTGGGGCCGGTATCATCTTTATAGTTATCGTAGTCTTGGCCTAATGTTTCCATTATTCCAAAATTGGTAGAAAAATTAGAAAAGCCTTATCTGTCAAGTTTAATAAGTCAAATGATTTACCCCAAAATATTCCACGTCACCCTCCTACAGACAATATCATGCTCGTAGAAAGAGAAAGCCACTCTACGTCACCAACAGCTCCTCTGTTGGATCAGCCAGATAGACTATCCGAATATCTTACGGGAACCTACAGAACAAAGCAGCGTCAGACTTACCATGAAGCTGTCAGATTATCACAGCAAAGCACCCACTGAGAACGAATCTAAAGTGTACAAGACGGGCTGGAAAAAAGATAACATCTATGGTAGAACCATGGCGGATGTGCCTTGAACAACAGTGGTTGCGGACTATTGACACGAAACAAAATCACGCTGCAAGGAGACGATGTTTGCTCTGTACCACCAAAAGACAAGTTACATGTACTTCAACCTTCTATAACTTTGTTCTAGAAATAAAGAGATCCTTGGAAAAGAAGTCAGAAGATTCTAAATCGTTACAGGTACTTTATAGAATGCTTAAAGGATGTCTATATAAAAATTTAACCAATCCACGTTTTAATGTAGAAATCAGATAACTATTAACATAGACTGGGAAATGTTGGTCGAGTTGTATGCCATTGGTTTTTGACTAAAATGTCTCAGGTTGGGATCATGGCAAGGGGCTGGAAGAACATTAGGGATTTAACTGTGACTGCCACGGATCAAAGGGTTGGAGTGAAAGTTTGTGAAAGATCCCTTGAGGTAAAGTATATATATATAAAAAAACAAAATGTAGCCCATGCCAAATTGAGTTTTTTTTTTTTTTTTTTTTTTTAGATAAATAAAAATACCTAAGACAATGTGGTGTAGTAGGAGCCAAATACCTGACACAAGAATCAATCACATTGTCATGGCAACCAACAACATGGAGGATCAACTAAATATTTATTAATCCTTGATGATATGTATATATAAAAAACAAAATGTATTTTATGTTGTAAAAAATGCTGAATTCTAGGGATTTTTTGAGATAAAAAAAGAAACCAAGCATGAACATAATCTCGTCCATGACAAACTTGAGACAACGTAAGGATGTAAACATCAAAGAGTTTTCAGGTAACCAGTCAACTGAGCACAGATAATAGGTATACTATGAATTGTGGAGAAAATGCGCGGTATCCTTGTCAACGCAGACGATAATAGTATGCGTATTTTGGCACTGCAAACTTTAACTTGAACCGTGGCAGACTATACATTAAGACACATTAAAAGATACCCCCAATATACGTGGAATGCGTTAAAAACAATTTTAAAGGATAGATTTAGCGACATGGCAGACACCCAATTTGCATTATTAAAATTAAAAAAAATTAAGACAAGGTTACGGTAAGACTCTGCAAAAGTTTGCAGATAGAATTATATCGGTCGCGGAAGAAGCTTATACCACTGACGAAATGGCTAATCCGCTGATTCAAAAGTCATTAATCAATATTTTTTATTAATGGATTAAAAGTGGACCGCATAGCGAGGAAACTCGTCTCGGTTCATTCGAATACATTAGACGACAAGGTCCATATCGCCGCATATGAACAAAAACCGGCTCATTGAGATAGTGGAGATCATGAACTGGTTGACTTAAACCATATCGCGTCACTCTTAATCTTAAAGAAACCATTCAAGAACAGGGGCCTGTTTCACGACATGTTAACTAAGATCAAATCCAAATTTTAGTAATTTGATTGGATAATATTAAATTGATTTTAGTGCTTAGCCAATCAAAACTGAAGTATTTACTAAAATTTGGATTTTATCTTTAGTTAAGATTTTGAGAAACTGGGCCCAGATTGAGAGTATGTTAGAAGCAGACATAATTAGATCTTCCGAAAGCCCTTATTCACCTCCAATTTTTTTGATTCCCTAACCGGATAAAACGTATTGATTCTGTATTGATTATATGAAACTTAACCAACAACTGTGACAAAATGCTTACCCTCTTCCTCATATGGAGGACGTCATTTACTCATGGGGGGGGGGGGGGGATCTAAATGCTTCACATGCTTGGATTTTATGAGTGGTTATTGGCAAATTTCACTCGACGAGTCCTCAAAATCTAAAACAGCCTTTACTTCTTTCATGGGCCTCTATGAATTCAATCGCCTCCCATTCGGCATTTCTACAGCTTCTTCAATTTTTCAACACATGATGGATAAATTGATGAAAGGATGTTTACACAAGTTTTTCGAGGTATTTTTGGACGACATCATTATCCATTCCAAAACATTTCTTGAACATCTAAAACACATAACAGAAGTATTCAGATGCTTAAAGGCAGCTGGATTAAAGCTTAAACCTTCAAAATGTGAATTTTTTAAACCATCAGTTAAGTATTTAGGACACATCATTTCTAAAGACGGCATTCAACCTGATTCTGCAAAAGCAGAAGTTATCAAAAATCTAAAAGCACCTACAAAGTTGAAGGAAGTTCGTTTTTACTGTGTTAGTCTTACAAAACCAAAATGAAGTCTGAATACCATAAATAATCACAAGTGAAAGCAGAGAAGAACCTGGGAGGAATTAACAGACAATTTGTTACATAATCTGTGTGTTACAACCACGATACAACACTCTCTCTATAGAGTTGTGGAGAAAATACAGGCAAACATTGCAGAAACAGGAATTTATGAAGAGGCGTCCAGTCAAGAGGCAACCCTGCAGCGATAGAGCGCACAGGGATGGATCATTCCTGCCTGCGGAATGTAGTCGACCCGGGCCTCCATACCAAGGAATAAATTTGTTGTTCATGCTCAGTTGCATGGCCTCACTGCGAAAACAATTTTTGTAAAATAGACGTACATATTTAGTCTAACTCGATGTCAGTCAAACCATTGTCCAACCGGCCGTGGAAACGCCGTAAATGTAGTCTACCAGGACAGCAGTGTTAATGCCATAGAAAATAGGGAAGGCCAGTATTCTTGTTGGAACTGTGGCGAGGCCGGCCACTGAATGAATACAGTGCTAGCTTTAACCAAATAATGTTCTTTGTTTTTTGTTTATGTCTTTTTTATGGATTAATGTGTTGTGATTGTTGTAATTTTACATTAGTTGTACTTATTTTAAGCACCCGAGACCAGCTGGCTGAGTTGAATTGTCAGGGCTATATAAATAATTATTTTAATGTAGGAAATGCCACCAACCGGGACACCGAATGAGTGCATGTCCATAAAAGGCGTTGATGTGGTAAACATACGGAAACCCAGTATACATGCTGGAACCAAGATAATGTGGAGTTATTTGCTACCTTAGTAATAAGAGCTGAATACCAGACACAAGGATCAATCACATTGTCATGGCAACCAACAACATGGAGGTTTAACTAAATATTTATTTATCCTTGATGATATGTATATATAAAACAATGTATTTTATGTTGTAAAAAAAGCTGAATGTGGAATGAAATGAAGGTTGAATTAAGTTCTTCATTTGACGAGACGTCTGATCCCATGGACATTATTTTTTCTAAAAGATGAGAACGTCCAGCAATTCTCGGGACAGAATTCTGGCTACCGCGCATTTGGTGTACGAAGATGTTAACAACCTTGATATTGAGGCTCATATGGGGCTAACTGTCGTATTGTCTCCCTTTAGTCGTATTATCTCCCTTTAATTACGTATTATAAAAAGAAGTAAAATAAATGATGATTTGTTGATTTGTTTGTGCTAACATTTACAGATGCGATAGCTGAAAAACAGCTATACTACGAGCTGTAGAAAGTGCCAGCCTACCCTCATTAATCGCGACACAGAATGAAGATGTCATGAAGCGCTACAAAACGTGCTTGGGATAATGTAGCTTGAAAGCAGTCTGTTTTGGAGGTATTGAGGGTAAAAAAGGCAAAAATGAGGATTAACAAATACGCTGATTTATTACAGCACGGTGCTGAAGTTAACATGCTGATCAATGATCACAATAAAAAAAAGAGAGAGAGATAGATATATATATATATATATATATAGAGAGAGATAGAGTCATTTTGGGACTAACATGGTTTTATTTTATAGGGGTCTTTAGCCGTGGGAGGAAACCGAAGGACCCTGAGAAAACCCATTAGGTTGGACAGGCGACCCTACTCATTGTCACGTACAACCGACCGAGGATTCGAAACCAGTAACCAAGCCAGTTGACTAAATGACAGGCCTTATGATACAGTGTACACGTGCTAACCATTCGGCCATCCAACCCCCCACAATAAAAAGAGGGCTTTAAGAAAACTAATGTTGTTTTAAAAAGGGATTTATAAACAAATGGGGTATAAACAGGACCCAGTAATTCACTTGGGGGCCTCATTCACAGAAACTTAAAACTAAATATTTAGGACTTTTCATCCAATGAAATAGTTTCATTCTTAAAATATTTTAGTTCAAGTTTTCGTGAATTATGCCCCTGGTTGCCAAATAACACATCAAGAAGAGAATTCTATATTATCTAGATATCGATTTACTAGCCAATTCTGCTGGGAGCACTTCTAGAAATACATGAAGGCCTACAGAGCACTGCATTATCTAGAAATACATGTACTAGCCAACTGCAGGGAGCAGTACTTAATTACCTAGACACACTTGGCAAACATAGGGATGTCTTAGCACT